ACACGATGGTTTGTGCATGACAAGTAGAGAAATGGGCAAAAATCATACCTTAAATCGAATAAAAGCCTTTTGACAGAATCTGCTGAAAATTGTTTGTTCCTACTGTACTATTTGAAATTTTTCTTCTATTTATTTATTTTCTTTCTTTCTTTCTTTCTTTCTTTCTTTCTTTCTTTCTTTCTTTTTTTTCTTTCTTTCTTTCTTTCTTTCTTTCTTTCTTTCTTTCTTTCTTTCTTTCTTTCTTTTTTCTTTCTTTCTTTCTTTTTTCTTTCTTTCTTTCTTTCTTTCTTTCTTTCTTTCTTTCTTTCTTTTTTCTTTTTCTTCTTTCTTTTTCTTTTTTTCTTTTTTCTTTCTTCTTCCTCTTTCTTTTTTTTCGTTGACTTCCTATCTTCGAGGTCGGATGGATGGCGTCCCAGTAGAGGGCGTTCAATTAATAACGTTCAGCTGTTGCAGAGGGCGCGCGCAACTTGTACGGCGAGAGTGCTTCATAGTTATACTATTTCTGTATTTTCTCGGTACTCTACATGACAAGTATTTTGAATTTGAACTGAAACATTTTCACAAATTATGCCCTTCGCTCACACATAACCCCCTCTTCATTTTTCTTTGTTTCTGAAGGGTCTCTGAATGGCCCTTCCTTTCTGAATCGCCCTGTAACTAATCTGAGTTTCATTGCAATATTTCATTCCTAAACTTCCCTAGAAAAACGCTTTTATGAAGATTTTCATATTCATCCTTCTCGAATTCTCAGCTACTTACTTATCTCTCGATGCCCTCAAGCCCGTTTTCCCTTTTTTGGAGCAAATAATGCTACCATTTTTGGGCCAGAAGAAACTAACAAAAGAACGTACAGTTTGTGGCAGTTGACTGATGGCATTAAATAGGTCAGCAGACGACATGGAACTCCTTCCAAGCTCGACAATTTCGTCTTCTTTCATTTTCATTATTGAAATAATAACCTGAAAAACCATCGTATTTGTGGATTGGAGAGTAAGCAGACAGGACAGGAAGTACAGCAAAGCGCGTTCGCATCGGTGCTGCAACGCCTGTCCCTGACATATCACCCGGCCCAATTGAACCAGTCGGGTTAAAAGTAGGAAAAAGTCCTACCCGAAATATGCTGACGCTGCCCGTATAAAACACGAAGTCCCACACACGTATCAATGTCTTTGTGGGAAATACTGACGCAAATAATGTTAATAACCAGTTGACAGTCACCAAGGACACCTCAACGTCGAGCTCATCGATAAGGCGATTCAGGTCCGGCACATGGGACTTCATCAGGTGCCTTGTGGCTCGTTCATCCGCCTAGATCAGGTATTTGTGGGTAAGTAGTGAATTATGAAGGTCAAACACACAAGAAAGTGAAAAATTCGATGAAAAAGGTAATACGACATATAAAATAAAAATAAAAAAAATAGAAAATTGAATTAGTGAAATAAAAACAGAGTAAGGAAAAAACGAGAAAATATTATAGAAAACAAGAGTGTGAAAAACGGAGGTTCCATTAATACTTCTCGCTGACGGAAATCAAGATAATTGGTCTGACTGGTGAGCGGGTTTGGTGTACGCCATGCATGGCACCCATTCAAAACTAATTATATTGAGTAAATAAAAGATAATAAAATCGTTCCAAAGCGAATCTATATCTAGAACAATTTTCAGACCTGAACGCCTAAAAGCGTCTGACTGTAGTAGTTTGGAGGTAGAATATCCTCGATCAGAGCTGTCATCATCCAGAATGTTGTCTCCTCGGAACAAAACAATAGAAGCATAGCTACGATAACTCCTGAAAAGGGTTGTAAATCCCTCTAATAGAGCTCTACCGCAAATTATATGTTCATGGAGGCAGCCTACTTCGAAAGCGCATGCTAGGGGGCGGGGTTGCTTAGATCAGTGCGCCCTTCTCATTGGTGGGTCCTATTCTGTAATTAAAGCGGGATTGACGACGTAAGCAAACCAGCCCTTTTGGCGCTTCGGCTGGGACCGTATGCTGAATGTTGGGGAGGGGATGGAGTCCCCGACGGTGGACGGACCACTTCAACTCGGTCCTTAGAACCGCCACAATTTGGTGCTTACCTCAGAACTAAGCCTTAAAGAGAGGACGGGTCCGTCCCCTCTCCAAGGCTTAGTCCTGGGGTGAGCAAACCAGCCCTTCTGGCGGAGCTGCTGGACCAGCTGCACCACTTGCGTCAGTACTCTCCTATCGTACCAACCGAGTTGAAGTAAACCGTCGACCGTTGGGGACCCCATCCCCTCCCCAACATTCAGCATACGGCCCCAGCCGAAACGCCAAAAGGCCTGGTTTGCTTACCCCGACCTCATCTGGGGTTCTTGCTTCAGAGCAACACCTCAGATAGGTTCATA